TGGACAGAATTAATGTAGTTCTTGAGGACTGTGGTTAGGTTAGCTCCAGGGACAGTGAGTTGTTATAAAAAGAGCAAGCCTGGCCTCTGAATCCCCTGGCTTCCTGTCAAACCATGTGATCCCTTCTGTGCATGTTCCTACCCTTGTGCTGCCATCTACCCTGAGACCCTCACCAGAGGCTGAACCTAATCTTGGACTTTTAACATCTAAAACTGGGTGCTAAATGAACCTATTTTCTTTTCCTTCTCCTCCTTCTCTTCCTTCTTCTCTTCCTCTTTCTTATTATTTTATTCTTTTGGTAATGTTGGGGCCTGTGCATGCTAGGAAATGCTCTAACACTGAGTTATGTCCCTGACCCCCAAGCCTCTTTTCTTTATACAGTGCACAGCCTCAGATATTTTGTTATAGCATCAGAAAAATGACTAATACAATTGTCCTATTCCTTCTCTGCACCACTGATTTTATCAATCAAGATCACTTTTGAGTGGATAATAATAAATATTAATTTATAAATTCAAGTTTTAACATCTAGAGCCCATTTTAAGTATTTCATTTTTTTTATAGCTAACTCCTTGCTTCTCGCCTCAGCCAAACCACTTGACAGTTTCTTAGTAAAATAAATTTCTGCAGGCTGAATTATTTTGCTCTGACCTTGAGTACCCCTTTATGGTGGATGGGATCACCTAGGGAAGGCTACACAACTGCTTTTGGACCTTGCTGGAGAGGTGAGGGGTAAGTCAGGTGAGTGGTTTTCTTGGGCATTTGCATCACACTTCACTAGGTCCTCTTAAAGACGGGACCATGTCTTCTGCATCTGCACCCACCTTCCTCCCTCAATCCCACTCCAGCTCCAAGCTCAGCGTTCTGCAAAAATAGATGGCCACAGTCACCAGAAGAGGCTGCCCCTATTTTGGGCTGAATTGTATCCCCCCAAATTCCTTTGTTGAAGCCCTAGCCCCCAGTACCTCAGAATGTCACTGAGCAGATGGTCCCTGACTTAAGATGGCTCACTTACTATTTTCTGACTTGGTAATGGTGCGAGGGCGATATGCATTCACTGGAAACGGTACTTCCAGTTTTGAATTTGGACCCTTTCCTGGACCAGCCTTCTGTGGTACAGTCTTCTCTCTGGCAATGACGGGCAGGGTGGTGAGCTGCGGCTCCAGCCAGCCCGGCCATGGCAGGGAGCTCGGTCGCTCAGCAGGCTGGCTGCATTTTATGCATTGTCAACTTTCAATATGGAAGAGCATCTGTGGTTGGAGTAGGGTCTTTAAAGAGGTGACTGAATTAAACTGAGGTTCTTAGAGTGGGCCCTGATATCCAGTCTGATGGATGTCTCCATAGGAACAAATCTGGACACCAACAGACACCAAAGGAAGACCATGGGAAGACACAGGGGAAGGCGCCTTCTGCCATCCAAGGAGAGATTTCTCAGAGGACACTAGACCTGCCAACACCTTGACTTTGGATTTCCAGTCTCTAGAATGGTGAGAAAACAATTTTCTGTGGTGTAAGTCATTCATCTGGGGTATTTTGTATTATGGATGCCCTAGGAAACTAACACAGAGCCCAAAGCCAGCACTCCTAGGACCACAGTTCCAGGGACAGAAGGGAAACAATGTGACAAGGACACTGGCTTTGGTTAAAAACATATTTTGAGAAAAATCACGCTTTAGAATGAAAAGTGACAGCAGGACCATTTTTTCTCATATGGCAAAAAGGTCTATGACACATGGGTGGGAATAGGCATTTTCTTAATGTGACTACTCTTCTGATTATATAAACAGCAAATGTCTCCCCGTGGGAAACGGAGGAAAGGCAGAAAAGCACAAAGAAGGAAATACATGACCTCGATCTTCCTGCACTTCTGTATCTGTTTCTCCAATCTCCTCTCCCTCCCTACTCTCTCCTCTTTCTGCCTTGCTCACTTGTGGTTTTTTCCTGCATATTTATAAACACAGTTAGGACTAATTTTGGTAAATCGCCTTTTCCCTTAACACTGACAATCGAAGATGACCCACTACATTATTAAAAAATTCATCTCAAACACAGTTCTCAGTGGCTGCCGGAACCTCCATACCTGCATGTGCCACAATGGGTCTCTAACATCCCTGGCTGCTGAGCCTTCTCATTGTTTTCTATTTTTAACTAATATAAATAAATAACTGATATAAATAAATATCCTTGGAGATAAATCTTTGTACACATCTTGGGCGATTTCCTCAGGGCAAAATTTTCTAGAAGTAGAATTACTAGTTACTTATATTTTGAAAGAGGAAAGATCTTTAAAATGTTCTAGTCAGTTATGCAGTTTCTGAGGTACAACCACGTCTGACCACAAATGTTCAAAGATTCTTAGGGTCCATGTTGTAATTTTAAACATCCACCAAAAAGAAAAGAAAAATGAAAAAAGGGAGAAAGAGGAAACCTAGATTATCTGTTGATAGCATAAGAAAGTGACATCCAACCTGGCAGAAGAGGAGGTCCCCTGAGGTGGGAATTCCAGGAAGAGCACAGGAAGAGGGGACCCGGTTGCATTTACAACATTCTGTGAAGTAGGCACCCGTTTTACAGGTGAATAAACGAGGTGCAAAGTGGTAGAGCCACTTACTTGCCAGCAGACACCAACAGCTTGTCAAGAAGCAGCAGTCAGGGTTAAATTCAGTTTTTCATGACTTCAGAGACCAAGGGCTTAACCATTAGCTCCACCACCCTAAGGCAGGGGCTGTGGCCACTGGTCTCTTCACAGCACAGGCAGGGCAGCTGGACAGGGCAGCTCCAGGACCAGCCCACATCAGTCCTGCTCTGCCTTCCCATCATGCTAGCATGACAAGGATGTGGGTGTGCAGGACTGGGAGGATGAGGGTGTCCATGTGCCCTTTTCTGGGGAGCACAAGCTGACAGTGGCTGCCTGACCCCCACCAGGTGACAACCAACATGCTCACCCTGCCACACTCATCACCGCAATGACCTCACCAGGCCAGCCACAGTGGTGCTTCAGTCGAGAGAAGGATATACCAACAGGACCGTGTCTTACAGATAAAAGTAGGAAGGGACCCAAGGACACCCCAAACATGCTCATGGCACGAAGTCGGTGAAGTGGAGTCGTTTTCTCCATTTCCTAATCTTCTAAAACACGATTTAAAAACAGGGATGCAGTGGGTCTCTGAAGTCAGGAGGTCCTGGATTCCAATCCTGCCTCCTACTCACTGGGTCACCTTAGGCAAGTCACTGCATTCCTCCTGCTGGGCAGGGATCATCCTTCCACCTCATGAACTCAAGGAAGAGATTCCTGTCACATCCTTAGCACCATCCCTGGAGGGGCGAGTAACTCAGCAGTACCAGTTCCCACTCAGATAAGCACCTTGCTGACCCCTGGAAATGCAGAGGGGACAGCTCCTGCCTCGGGAGGAACAGAGTGTGGCGAGGAAGAGCTAATGACAGGCTGAGGCGATGAGCACTGGAGCAGAGAAGACAAACCAAGTCCACATTATTTTCAGAAATATCACGATTTGGGTCTCTTGCTCCTGGTTGCAAGAAAATGAAAGGGGGGAGGCATGGGGGGGAGGGGAAGGTAAGAGGAGGTACTGGGGAATGAAACTAAAAAAAAATCATGTCATATGCATGTACGGACATGCCACAAAGAGATCACCATGCTGTATCATTAATATGCACCAATAAGAATAAAGGAGGCCCGTGCACCTTCCCCAGTATCACCGTTTGCTTTTCCACCAAGACTTACCTGTCCCACAGCCCAGCCCCAAAGACCTACTATCCGCTGGAGTTAATCTGGTCAGATAATTTCTACAACACACAGTGAAGTCCAGGGGTCCCTAGACTACCTCAGACAGCACTTGGGAACACATGAAAGTAACATGCATTTATTACATAAAACGCCGAAAACCTCAAGTTGCCCACAATCTCTTAACTTAGAAATCGCCACAGCTAACCCACAGATGACATTTTGATGGAAGCTCTAAAGGCTTCTTCCTCATCCGCTCCCAGGGGATGACGCAAATGGTGGTGATTTAGGCACCTACTGGGTCAACTGGAAGCAGGTGTAGGATGCGGAAGTCTCCCCTCCTATCAAACCCCCTGGAGCGACTTCTGATCCTGTCCAGGAACAAAGCCAGCTCTGCACACACCCACCCCAGGGAAGAAGGGTGCCAGGGAAGTAGCAGCCTGGGGCTGCTGGCAGCCATGTGCTGGCTGGTCCCAGAGGACTCCCAAGGCAGCCCCCAGGACAGGGGCTGTCTCTGCAAATGTCTATTTGTCAACAGATGTTCTGAGCCTCAGGCAGACTTTTAGAGGATGGTGAGGGTTCCAGGCCGCTCCACAGAGCACCCACCGACTCAGGACAGGGACCAAGGACAACACCTCCAGAGCCAGCTCAGAGTCGTGGCTGAGCTTCCAGGAATGTCCTCTGCAGGCTGGTCCCAGGCTGAGCCAGTGCCCTGTGTACAGGGTTCCCCTTTCTCAGTCCTCCCTGTAACCCTCACCTCCACAGGCTGACTCAATGAGATAATAATGGGCAATTAATCTGATGCAATTAAAAGATACTAAAGTAAGAGTGACTGATATAATAACCATATGACCCTCATCAGAGTATTGTTCTTTGTCTCAATAAGACATTGACAAGTGTACCTTTCTTTTCAGGGAATAGCACACCAAGGTAAAGCTGTTAACAGGCAGGCTCTGGGGTAGGGGGTGGGGGACTGGGAAGCTGACGTCACCAAAGGAAAGGGATCCACACTGCAGCTTTCAGACCAGCATCCAGCTTCCCTCTTCCTCTCCTGCTACCCACAGGGTTTGGGGAGTGGCAATTAGAGGTGGCAAGGCTGGGGTAGTTTGGGCAGGGGTGGCTGACTGCACACACAGGTGGTTTGCAATCAGGGCCTCTCTCAATCTGGGCTGCTGTCATTGCTAACGTGTGTACACAGCGGCAGATGGGATTCTTAGAGCTCTCCAGGTGAACCAGAGGTTTGGGTTGTTACACTCACCTGTCTTCTCCACTTCTCCCAGTCCACGCTCTGAGTGTGGGGAACTCTACAAGAAAACGAGATCAGAAAGGTACATCAGGGGGGCTTGTATTTTTCCAAGTCACAGACTAGTGGCCAGAGATTAAGATCACGCTGCAACAATATTTAGAATTTAATATTTGAAGCAATTCTAGCATTTAGAAACTGAGGGATTTCAAGCAGAAGACAGGCTTTTGGGCTCCTCTTTGGAGATGTGAACCTTAGAGTTTCCCCAGTGCCCCACATCTGGCTCCTGGAGACTGGAGCCCAAAGCCCCTGCAGCAGCTCTGACGATGTGACCTGCAAGGTGCAGGTGGGCTTCCCTTTTGGTAGACGCCTCTCCTGAGCTCACAGTTTCCTCCTGTCTCTTTTCCTTTCTCCTTATCCAGACCTAGAAACCCAGAATTCAGGAGGGAGAAAGCCAGACCAGTCCCTTGGAGAAACTGAGGGTAAGAAGATAAAGTCACATTCTGCACAAAGCTGGCGAGGGCACTGCTGTCCACACTCAGGGTTCCTTTTCAATATCTGGGGGCACCTGCATCATTTGAGGAGTTTAACCAAGACAAAGGAGCAGGAGAACCTCCGTGTATAGTGCAGCTCACTGGGAGAGCAAAAGTGTGGGGTCCTAGAATCTCTAGTCCTGGGAGGAGAGAATGGGTTCCAGACCCAGGCACAGAGAGAGCTGTGTGGAAAAGACCCCCCGATAGCAGTTGTCCCCTGTGGTCAAGACAGGAAGCTGGCCCCAGGTGATTCTGAGGGGTGAATCTGGGAGACTAAACCCTGGACATCTCTGCCCCACCACCCTCTACATTCTGCCAGATCTCCCCATTGGCCACACCTATCAGCAAGCCAAGAAGTCTGGTGAGGCAGCCTACCCAGGCCATGGGGACACGGCAGGCTGGAAAGGGAAAGAAAGCAGACTTCAAGAGGCAAATGACAGCTGTCTGGCCCAGCAGCTCTGCCTCCCTATATTGTCTTCACCCACCGGTCCACATCCATCAGGCTTCAAGCCAAAGCTAGCCAGTCCTGCAGTGTCCGGAGGCTGATTCCATCCCAATGATTATAAATTGGCACTGGGTGCTTGGTGTCCACCCTTTCTGTGACTCTGTTCTGCTGGCCTGAGCCTATGTGGCCTGCTCCGTTCTCCAGGAACCCATCTCCCAGCCCCACTCTGGCACCAGGAGCCTTATCTTTCCTGCCACCTCCCCAGCCTGTTCCTTTCCACGTACACCTTACAAATTCTTCTCACTGTTGAGCCAGGTTGTCCCTTTCCTGGAAAAACGGCCCAGCCCAGAACTCACAGAGATCCTGGAGCAGAGCTGCAGGGAACCCACAGTCACGGGGCTGACGCAGCAGTCACAGGGCCAGAGTGGGCAGCCTGGATGCTCCCTCCCCAGATCTCTTCTGGGAAAAGCAGCAGCCTGACAAGAGGCAGTCAGTCACATATAGGGTTTTGTGAAACCCTAAGCTAGAAGGAATCATTTCTTTAGTTTCTGTATTTTTTTTTTAATCGATGGAGAAGCTGAGGCCAGGAGAAGGGTGGGACTTGCAATGGTCACACAGCCAGAAAGCAGCAGAGTCAGTGGTGTGTTTGCCTGCTAGGTGGTCCCTTCTTCCTGGCCTGGGACAGATGAAGCCATGCTCATGTCAGGAGACTGGAGCTCAGCTGAGATTATTCACCAGCAACCTTCCAAGCAGGGCCAACCTTGAGTGCTTCCTTTGAGCCACACTAGGCTCTTCACTCCTCACCCCACCTCTCTGAGGCAGAACAGTCATTACGCCCATGCTACAGAGGAGGAAGCCGGGTCTGGAGAAGTTACCTCACAGGCCTAACTCACACGATAGGTGAGGGCTGGAACAGAGGCAGCTACGTTCCCAGTATGGCCAGAATATCAATGAGTGTCCCCAGCTAGTGTGCTTTCCTTCTCCACTGGGCCTCTGCTGGGTCCTCACAAGCATCGTCCCATTCAGTTTTAGTGGGAGAAGCAGAAGCCACATGGTGAATTAGATGCCTCCCGACCATTTTGCTCCATACACTGTTTCTTTCTTATTTTTTTAAATATACACTTTAAATTTTTACTTGGTACCTAATGATTGTACATATTTATAGAGCACAGTGTGATATTTCTTTTTCTTTTTTTGGTACTAGGGATTGAACTCAGGGGTGCTCTACCATGGAGCTATATCCCCATCCCCTTTTATTTATTTATTTATTTGTTTATTTGTTTGTTTTTTTAAATATTTATTTTTTAGTTGTAGTTGGACACAATATCTTTATTTTATTTATTTATTTTTGTGTGGTGCTGAGGATCGAACCCAGGGCCCTGCACATGCTAGGCGAGCGCTCTACCGTTGAGCCACAATCCCAGCCCCTTTATTTTTTATTTTGAGACAGGATCTCACTAAGTTGCTCAGGCTGGCCTTGAACTTGCAATCCTCCTGACTCAGTCTCCTAAGTCTTGGGGATTATAGGTATGTTCTACTACGTCCAGCTATGGTGTGATATTTCAACACATGTGTACCATGTATAGTGATCAGATCACAGTAACTGGCATATCCATCATCTCAAATATTTCTCATTTCTTTATCTTGGGAACATCCAAACTCCTCTCCACTATATTTCGAAATATACGATGAACTGCTGTCAACCCTAGTTACCCTGGAATGCTATAGAATACCCAGCCCCACCCCATACCCAGTAATTATCCTCTCTCCTTCCTCCCCCAACTTCTGCCCTCTTCCCAGCTTTTACTATTCTACTCTCTACATCTGTGAGATCAAGATTTTTAACTTTCACATATAGGTGAGAATGTGCGGTATCTGTCCTTCTGTCTCTGGCTTATTTTGCTCAACATAATGTCCTCCAGGCCTATCCATATTGTCACCAATGACAAAATTTCTTTCTTTTTATGGCTGAATAATATTCTACTTCCACACTTTTTCTCTGACTCTCTGTGGACCGTTCCCTAATGTCTCAGCCCATATGAAGTAGAAAGTTTGGGTTCATCCACCCATCCTGCCCAGTGCTCTTCCTGTGATATTTAAGGGGCTTCCACAGGCTTGATTGGGCCCTTCTGCCCCTGTCCAAGGCCCTGATCTCATATAAATGGTGGTAATATCCCCAGGTTATGGGGCAGCCAGGTCATCAGCCGTGCCCCCATCTTCTCCAACAAGGACTGTTGGGATGAAAGATTGATGAGTGAGCCGTCCTCACTGGTGAATTTTTAATTATGGAAGAAAGGAGACCCCAGCCCTCAGCCCAGCCCAGAACTCTGGGAGGAGGATTGTTGGATGTCATTGCTGTTAAAATTTCATCCACACTAACAGCAGCCATGGACCCTGCAGCTGAGCTTGTCTGTCCATATACAAAGGAGAAGGTGGGATGGGGAGGAATTGGTGGGATACCTCCAACTCCCAACCTGGAGTGACGTGGGGAATGCCAATCAGGATATTAGGAGGCCAAGGGCAGGTCTCAGTACAGGGCCCTGGGACAGGAGCCTGGGGTCATCCCAGCTGCCAATCTATGCTGCTCGCCTTCCTACTTTGCAGGTGACTGCACCTCTCACCCCGGATCCTCTTTCGGTCAACAAGCTGAGATGGGGCTGATCTCAGAGAGAGGTCCCAGGCTGGAGGTCCTGACCCCAGCCTCATGGAGACCTGGACAAGTACACTACTGCCCCAGAAAAGCAGGATGCCTGTGGGATTACCCCAAACCCAATTCCATCAAAAACCAAGAAAGAAAAAACAAGGCCTGGGTATGAATCTTGGCTCTAGCATTTTCTGAAGCAAGTCATTTTGATCTCCTAAGCCTCAGTTTTCTCCTCCACAAAATGGGAATGGAAATGGATCCTGGAGAGAGCTGTGGTGAAGATAAATGAGCAGACTATGGAAAGCACCTAGTGGTGCCCCTGGCACTTAGGAAGTTCTTAATAAACCACTATCACTAGGGAGAATGAACCACCAATTCTGTACTCAAATGACATAAACTAAAGAGATCTCACAAAGTATAAACGCAAAACTTGCAAGAAGGAATGGAGCAAGGAGCAAAGACAAAACAGCACCACCACAAAGACCCAGGTGAGGATTCCGAGGCCGGCTGGGGAGGGGTCACTTGGGTGTGGGGGTGGCAATCAGGTGAGGCTTCATGGAAAAGGAGGCCTGGATAACGCATCGCCAACATTTCCATCCTTTGCAAGGTCAGAGACTAATCTGCTTGTCTTTCACACTGAAGTCCCCTCTAGGAAAACTGGGTGGTAATGAGGTTCCAGTATGTACCTGGCTCTCTGGGATATCACTGTTTAGTCGCTAATACCGTGAGTCACAGGCTCTCAGGGGCTCCCTGGCTTTCCTAGTACAAGTCCCACCTCCCCAGAAATTTTCCCAGAATTGCTTCATCCTACATGAATCCCAGTATTTTCATGTGCCAGTTGCACCCAAGATTCAAACTGTGCCCTAAACAGGAGGCTTGAAAGAGAGAAGCCCTGGGTCTTGTGAGAGACTTGGCAAATACCAGCCCTTCTCTGGCTTGAACAAGAGTCCTCTAGAGTGAGCTCTTCGGGAGCACTAGCCTTTCAAAAAGCTTCCTAAATCAGACACGATGGTGGAAAATATTTGGGAATTGTTCCACGCTGTATCACCCCACCTCTATTTCTAAATATTCCACAGGCAATGAATACATCAAAGCTCTGATAAGGTCTTCAACACAAAGACCAGTTTAGTTTAACTTGACCCAGCCTTGCCCATTCTAACTTAACCTTGGATCATTTTTTGGAATAAACTAACATTCCTCAGTACACACACTGTGGGGAATGGGAATGGTAGCCTCAAAGATGTCTCAGATACCTTCCTGCTCTGTCATTCTCATTCAGAGATTCAATAAGAGCCTGAGGTGTGGAATTTCACCTCTGGGTAACTTTTCCAAAGTGTCTCTCTTTCATTTCTGGCCAAGATGTGAGGGCACCTCTTCCAGCTCTCAAGGTGGGCAGAATGCTGGAGTTTCCATCACAACAATCTTTGCGGTGCAATCGC